AGCCACAGCAGCAGCAGCACTGTTTGGAAGCAGCAGCACGAGCAGCAGCAGCAGCACGAAGTGCAACAGCAGTTGCACCGGCTGCACGACCTGCAGCAGCACGAGGAGCAGCATCACGGGCTCCAGCGGGAGGATCAGCAGCAGCCGTAGTAGCGTAGCAGCAGCACGAACAGCAGCAGCAACAGCAGCATATGCAGCAGCAAGGCTGCTGCTATTCTCCTAGTAGGTCTCCGCATGCATTGAGGGTAGCATCTGCTGCAGTGCATGCGGGTGTTGTGCTGCATTAGAGATGCATAGCAGCAGCACTGAAGGTAGTCTATTGCTGCTGCGGCTGCGGTGTCTACTGTATAGAATGCCTTATAGAGGAGCAGCATCAGCGGGGGCCCCCCGCAGGACAGAAGGAGGGGGGCCCCCAAGACGTTCTTCATCTGCTGCTGCTTCAGGGGGCCCCCCTAATACTTTTATGAAGGCGTCTTCATTCAGTTTGCTGCCTGACGCTTTCATCAACCTTCAAGGGGGCCCCCCTCAATTCTGTTCCTCTCCAGCAGCGCTGCTGCCTCCTGCTGCTGCTGCTCCTGCTCCTGCTGCTGCTGCTGCTCAAGAGCCAACGCTGCGGAGAGCCCCCTTAGGGTACTGCTGCACCCCGCAGGGCCCCCAGCATATGTCGCAGTGGGGGCCCCCTCAAAGGGGGGGGCCCCACAATCGCCGCTGGTTCTGGCAGCAGATACCTACGACGTCAGCAGCAGCAGCAGCAGCAGCAGCATCTGCTGCTGCTGCTGCTTCTCCTACTTGTACTACTTCTGCAGCTGCTCGTGGAGGCGGTCGATTCATGCAGCAGCAGCGGGAAGGAGGCTCAGCAGCAGCAGATGCAGCAGCAGCAGCAGCAGCAAAGCCCCTTTCAGCAGTAATGCGCAGACGCAAGCAGCAGACCCATCAGCAGCTGCGGCAGTCGGGTGGTGCGCAGCACCCGGAGAGTTTGCTGCAGCAGCAGCATCAGCACCAGCCGCAGTGGGTGCAGCAGCAGCACCTGCAGCCGCAGTGGGTGCAGCAGCAGCACCCGCAGCCGCAGTGGGTGCAGCAGCAGCACCCGCAGCCGCAGTGGATGCAGCAGCAGCATTTCCTGCAGGCGCAGCAGCAGCAGTTCTTGCAGGCACAGCAGCAGCAGCAGTTCTTGCAGGCACAGCAGCAGCAGCAGTTGCTGCAGGCGCAGCAGCAGCAGCAGTTGCTGCAGGCGCAGCAGCAGCAGCAGTTGCTGCAGACGCAGCAGCTGCTGCAGCAGCCTCTACCGGAGAGTTTGCTGCAGCAGCAGCATCAGCACCAGCCGCAGTGGGTGCAGCAGCAGCACCTGCAGCCGCAGTGGGTGCAGCAGCAGCACCCGCAGCCGCAGTGGGTGCAGCAGCAGCACCCGCAGCCGCAGTGGATGCAGCAGCAGCATTTCCTGCAGGCGCAGCAGCAGCAGTTCTTGCAGGCACAGCAGCAGCAGCAGTTCTTGCAGGCACAGCAGCAGCAGCAGTTGCTGCAGGCGCAGCAGCAGCAGCAGTTGCTGCAGGCGCAGCAGCAGCAGCAGTTGCTGCAGACGCAGCAGCTGCTGCAGCAGCCTCTACGCGCGTTGATGGTGGAGGTGCAGCAGAATAGCTATTCGTGGCAGCAGCAGCAGCAGCAGCAGCAGGCCTTGTACTGGCAGCAGCAGCAGCAGCTGCTGCTGCAGCAGCGTGGGCCCCCGTCGCCGCCCTCGGAGGGGCCTAGAGCGGAGCAGCGGCGGTGGAGAGCAGCAGCAGCACCAGGAGCAGCAGCAGCACCAGCAGCAGCAGCAGCAACAGCAGCAAACAGCAGGTCGCCGTTGGCTGCCTTTGGGTGCTGAGTTGCTGCAGTCAACAGCAGCAGCAGCAGCAAATAAAAGGAGACAGTTGCTGAGGCCAGCAGCAGGGGCCCCAGTTAAGAGGGGACACTGGCGTGTTATGTCTTTTAATGTGCTAGCAGAAAGCCTCGTAGATGAAAAATATAATAAACAAGTAAATGCTGTTGCTGCTGTTGCTGCTGCTGCTGCCGTTGCTGCTGCTGCTGCTGCTGTGTTGATGTGCAGCAGTCTCCGTGTGTGCATCTGCGCAGTTCCTGCCTGTTGCGCTGCAGCAGCAGCAGCAGCTTGGGCTCGATGGTGCATCTGTTTGTTTTCTGCTGCTGTTGCTGCTGTTGCTGCTGCTGCTGCTGCTGCTGCTGCTGCTGCTGCAGGACCCTGAGCTGCTGGCTTGGGGGCGGCGGGGCCGTGCAGTATTAGCAGAGTTGCTGCTGCACCTGCCTTCTGTCATTTGTCTGCAAGAGATGGAGGCAAAGAGGCTGTCTTTCTTTCGAAGGGTGAGTGTGGGGTCTCGGGTGTACGTACACCTGCTGCTGCTGCTGCTGCTGCTGCTGCTGCTGCTTGTGCTGCTGCGCTTGCTGTTCTTTCTGCCTTCTTTCCTGCTGCTGATTAGGCTGCACGGTCTTCTCCTCCTGTTGTTGTTGCTGTTGCTGCTGCTGCTGCTGCTGCCACTGCTGCTGCTGCTGTTGCTGTTGCTGCTGCTGCTGCTGCAGCAACTGGGAGGGCGTCGATATGGTTCAGCGTACAAGCAGCTGACATCGCAGACACGCAGTGATGGTGCTGCTGTCTTCTGGAGTGAAGATTTATTTACTCTAGTAGAAGCTGCAGCATATGAATTTAACTTGAGGGACGGCAGGTCTGCTGCTGCTGCTGCTGTTGTTGCTGCTGCTGTTGCTGCTGCTGCTCCTCATGCTGCTTCTGCTCGTGCTGCTGCTCTTCCTGGGGGTGCTGCTCATGCGGCTGCTGCGCGTTCTGCTGCTGCTGCTGCTGCTGCTTGTGCTGGCTGAGCTTGCTGCTCCTGCTGCTGCGTGGCTTGCTGCTGTGCTTCTGCTGCTGCTGCTGCT